AACCAGAGAAATGAAAAGTTGTGCTCCATTTGTATACCATTTGACTCAGCTATCCCACTCGTTGGTGGGATTTTTTGTTACTATAGCATGTGATTTTTGTTACTATGGCTCTGTAGTATAGTTTGGTACCAATACCATGTTGTTTTTGTTACTATACCTCTGGTATTGTGATGACTCCTGTTTCACTCTTCTTACCGAGGATTGCTTTGACTATTCTGGGTCTCTTATTTTTCCAAATGAATTACGTGATTGCTTTTTCTATTTCTATGAGGAATGTTGTTGGGATTTTAATTGGAATTACATTAAATTGAAATGCATTCTGCTGATATGTATAACAAATTAGAACAAATAAAAATTTTTAAAAAACCATATCTCCCTTTCATACAAAACTGTACTTAACACTGACAAGAAATTTCTGGAACAATTTTAAGTCAACTGAGCAAGATAGGGAGATCTGGGATGAAAGAAAGACGTTCAAATAAAGTGGAGGAAATCAGTGGAGAAGACAGATTCAGAAAGAACTCAGATGCTATATGTCTAATATCTTGCAGTAAATAGAATTGCAATCTCTATGCACTCTTCTATGGGATCACCATAAAAAATGCAAAATGTTCTACAAACAAATAGGAATGCTTGAGAGTCGTGATAGGAATTAATGTTGACCCAATATTGCTGTGGACATCCAGTGTCGTCATAAAAAGTTCCAAAATTCCTACAAGAGTGAGCTTACACTGGAATCTGCCTTCAAGAAATGGAAACTCTGCAGGCCTGTAATCCCAGTGACCAGGAGGTAGAGGGAACAGCATGACAAATTCATGGCCAGCCTCAGCAACTTAGTGAGACCCTGTCAAAAAATTAAAAAATAAAAGTGCTGGAGATGTGGAGATGTGCACCTGGGTTCAATCCCTGGTACTGGAAAGAAAACTCATGTGTGAGACAATGCAAATAGGTTTTGGAGGAGAAATAATTGGGTCGTGAGAGCCTTAACCCAATCAGTGAATCAATCCCCTGATGGGATAAAGGGGGTGGCCTCTCTGTTTCCGGAACATGTGCTGCTTCCCTCTGCCTTGCTCCTCTGTCTTGATAAGCCTCACCTCAAGACCCCAGGAGTGGAGTTAGCCATCTATGGACTGAGACCTCTGAGACTGTAAGCCCCCAAATAAACTTTTCTTCCTCTAAAATTGATCTTGTCAGGCCTTTTAGTCAGAACACTGAAAAATCTGACCAAAACAGTGTGTGTATAAAACATATATACACATATGTTTCTATCCAATCACAACACAATGATGGTGGAAGGTCAGTAAAGAGATAGGAAATGTGATTGATCTAATAGCAATTTTGAACCAACGGACACTGTGAAACCTTTCATCCACTACCAGCATACCCAGTTTCTCAGATCCACATGGAACATTCTACAAGGTAGACCTGATGCTGGCCTAGTAAATAATTCATAGTCAATTTTGAAAGATTGAAATAATACACAGCATGTGCCCTAGCTACAACAGAATTGAATGAGAAGTAGATAATACGAACATATAAAAGCACCTTAAAAATTTAGAAAATTACAAGTGCACTTTTAAGCAATGGTGTCAGTTGTCAACTTGATTACCTCTCAGCTCCAAATTGATCCTTCCTCTACTTGCTCTGGGACTTTAAGCATTTCTCCTTTACAATGAACTTAAGGGTAAGCCTTGTCAGTAGAGGGCACTGGAGGGACACTGCATGAGGCAGAGGGATTCTTTTCCTACCTCTGGGTGCAGTGACCTTGCCCTCCACCTGGCCTTCTTGCTCCTTCTTCGTGGTTTCTTAGCTGTGCAAGAGTCTGGGGACATTCACTGGTATTCTGTCCTTACAGCATATCAAGCTTGTATATTATCTCCATACACCTGCAGTCCTGTTCTGCAACCTCACCAGACGGGGTATTCCTGATGTGGCGATTACTATACATTCTAGGGCTGCATCCCCAAGACCCCTCCATCCTATGTTCACTTATTAGCTGCTTCTCAGCTGTGTTCCTGAGATTTATTTTCCATTCATCTCCCCATATGGACAAGCATATCCCAGGATTCAGACCCAGAGTGTCTTTCCAGTTGCCTCCGCCTGCCTGCCTACCAGCTCCAGCATCCACAGAGGAAACCCAGTCACCTGCATGCTCATCTCCCACCACAGCATGCCTGCACCACAGACAGGTTTCCCTTGTGGTGCTGTGGACCAGCTCTGGCTCAGGCAGCTTTTCTGTACCCTCCAGCTGCTGGCTGCTGCATACCTTCTCCACCAAGGCTGAACTGTAGCCTTGCCCTACTGTGGGTATGGCTCTCTCAGCACAGGTGTGCCCCTTCATGCTTTCTTTATGACATCATGATACTCGCCTATCACAGGTTTGTAATTCTTTAATATCAGCTTCCTTTTTATCAGATTACTGTGAGGTTTCTGTGTCCTGACTGTCAGAGTCTGTTGACACAACTCTTAGATGAAGTGAAACCGTGTAGAAAAGTTAGAAAATATTTGAAATGAGTAATAATTAAATAGAGCCTATCCAACTTATAATCTAACTAGTGCTTACAGAAGGACATAAATAGTCCTGAACATTTATATATAGTACATACACAGTTCCAAAGACACATAAATAAATACATATAAATAAATATGGTTCTAAAAGCTCATGTGAAAAGTGGAAAAAGATTTAGAACCAGAATTAAAAGTTTTCAATTTAATAAGCCAAGAAAAATTGTAGAAAAAAGGAATCAAACATTAGAGAAAACAAATCAATGGAAAGAGTGATGAACAAAAACACAGAGAATAAATGAGATGAAAAGATGATTCTTTGAAAAGATCAAAACAATTGATAAAGTAAGCATTAAAAAAATCACAAATTAGGGCCCTGGGGATGTAGCTCAGTGGGAGAGCACTTGCCTAGTATGTGTGAGGCACTGGGTTCGATCCTCAGCACCACATAAAAATAAATAAAAGTATTAAAATACAACATTATAATAAAATCACAAATTACAGATATCAGGAATGCAAGAGCAGTTATTGTTACGAAGCTTGTAAACTTAGAACAATATAGAAATAAATCAAGAACTTTATGCCAATAAATTCAACAACTGAGATCAGCAAAGTATATGAAAAAAAAATTATAAAAATGAAGTTAAGAATAGAAAAACAGATATCACTAGAGCTGTTAAGGAAATTTTGAATTTAATATTAAAGTCCTTTACATCTCAAGGATGAAATAGCTTCACTGTGGAATACAATCAGATATTGAAAAAATATGTAATTCTAATCCTACAAAAGCTCTTTCAGAAAAGGAAGAAGGAAAAAATGCAGATGCTTTTTATGAGACCAACATCATTCTAAATTCTAAAGTCACATAAAGATTTAAAGGAAAACTAGACTGATATATTATAAGTACAGACTCAAAGGCTTAGCAGATTGAACCCAGAAATACATAAATGAAAAATGTTCAAAGCAGCTTTATTCCAAAGCTGATTTAATGTTAAAAAAAGAATATTTGCCATTTCCACCATACTTATAGAATAAGAGAAAAATCATATACTTCCAATCCATAGGAAAAAATTGGCAAAGTATAAAAGTAAGTACTAATAAAATCAGAATCAGTTGGGATCTTTAAAAATAAAATTAGAATCAGTTGGGATCTTTCTCAACTGAATAACAACTATCTTTCAAAAACTTACATATAGCATCACACCTAAAGACTGAATTCTTTCCTCTCAAACAGGACAAAATTCAAGGCTATCTTCTCTTCTGCTTCTTGTCAACATTATATTACAGTTCCTAACTAGCATGAAAAGGAAGTAAGTAATTAATACATACATTCATATATTTATATATAAAAATACAGACAGTTAAAGAAGTGAAAATTTTGTACTTTTATATCACAAAATAGAAAACAAACATTTAAAAAGACTACAAAGCAAGCTTCGTGAATTTGTAAAAGTCAAAGAGTAAAGGGTGAATTTACACAGATGGATGTTTTATAATATGAGCAACATGAAGAGAAAGATTTCAATTAAAATACTGTTATAATATATAACATTATAAATGGATAAATGGATAAATATATAAACATTACAAATATATTGTATATTTTATAATATATTAAAAACTTAAAATAATTACATTGTCCCTAATAGAATATTTTCAAGACCTAAACACTTTCAATAACTAATCATTATTGGGAATTATTAAAAATGAACTTTTAAATAAGGAGAAATACACCCATCAAGCAGAAGTTTCCTTTTCCATTGACTTGTCTTGGTAATGTTTCTGAAAATGAATTGCCAAAATAGACTTCCCCTATTGATGCAGACTCTCTTCTATTCTATTCTTCTTCCAATACATATTGTATAGAAAGACAAACAAATAGATAAACAAATAGACAGATGAAAGAGAGCATCAACAATACTCAAAGACACATGCCCATGAATCCCAGCTCTCTCTTTCCCTGCTTGGTGAAACCACTCCACAGGTGTTTCCCTAGTGCTGTGAGGTGATTATCTCTAGAATGTGGGAGTATAACTAGATTTGCTTTCCTGTGCTGCTTCTATGGATTCTGTTTTGGCTGTACTTGACTATCCGTCTCATGAAACAACCCAAAATAATAGTTTGAAGCATGGCAGGAACTATAAAACTGAGAAACTCAAAACTGTCACTTATCTGGATTATAAATGACCACACTCAAAATGGAGCCTTAGATGGATGCTTAGATATTTTAGAATTAAAAACAACAAACAAACAAACGACTCCCCCAAATATTCTGTGACCTTCATTGCCTGAGAAAAAGTTGACCGTGTTATCAGTAACTCTCAGCCTGTGGACATGTGGAACAAAAATTTAGTTCTCTTTCTGACACTTCATTCCAGATAATTTTTCATAACCAAATCCAATGTCTAACTTTTATCATACTGCCTTGCTTTGAGATCCTGGTGAAGAATGTCAAATACATTGTCAATCTTGTGGGGCAAGAAGCAGTTACTGACCTTCTGTGGGCAGCAGCTGTGACAGCGAATGCAGCAACAGCAGCTGCCTCCTAGACCTTTATGCACAGTGATCACGACTTGACCTGTGTTATCATAAATCGTCATGGTAAATGGCCTGGCCAATCCACAGAGGTATCGCAGGAACCAATTACTTTGCTCTTCTACAACATAAATTCTATGTCCTTGATTATTCATGACCTCGTATGTTTTATTAGCTTCCAAATAGCAGAGGACTGGAGAATGAAACAAGAAGGTGATTTGTTAGTAATACTGATGTGAAACTTGTGAAAATTACATATTAAATTAATTTGGGCCTATGATGGAACCCGGGGACTTGTTTTTCTAACATGCTCCTGGAAGATGTTGATGCTGCTATTCCAAGGACCATACTTTGAGAACCACTGGTTTAGAGAACTAGCTCCTTACACATGGATGCTTAGAGTCTTCCCGCTATTTTTGTGACTTTAAATTATGAGCAACTTTCATTGTTCCTCTCTTTTGTATCCAACAACTAGTTTTTACAAATTCTCTCACGACCTTGGGACTGCAGTACAAATATTTTCTTTAAGCATATTCATTCCTCAGACTTCAGAGCAAACCTGTCAGGGCAACCCAGGTCTGACTCTTCTCTGATTCTCTCAAGGTGATTAGCATATGCCTTGTTCATGGTAGGTATGCAGTGGTGTTTCTGGAGTAAATGACTTTCATGAAAATGAAACATCTTAATGCAATGCAGCATGAAAAAATAAACCTCAAAGAACTGCTGTTAAATAGCAAACTAGAAAGGTTTTTATGAGTTAGAAAACACAAATGCCTATTTTAGTCAGAAAATGTATACAACAAACTCATCAGTAATGACATTACTATGTTTAAAATGAAAAATTTTGTTTATGTGGGTTACAGTTTCATCTGCATGAAGGAAATAAAATGACATAAAGATAAAAAATTGGATTCTTAATGGACAATGTAATTTCTCAGACTTGATAAAAACTTAGCTGATTCTGCTTCTACTAGCAGAATTCCTAAATAAACCTGCAATCACTGCTTCAGTGGATACCTGTATTTCAGGAATTCAGGATGAAAAAAAAAATTTTTGAGAAGGCAGACCTGTGTTTAGCAAAGCTGAAAATGAAGACTATCCCCTTCAGGCACAATCCTGAGGCAGGTATATTTTTCCTTTACCAGAAAACTGCCTTGTATTCACCTCCTCATCTAAGGGCCTTCTGGGAGTCTCTTTGCCCCCAGGGCCTACTTTTCTCCAAAAGGGCAATTTATATTTTTAGGGGCTGATCTAACTACAGCAAAACACATTACATCTTCAAGAATGAACAATACATCAGTGTGTTTGGGTACCTACCTTCCAGATCAAAACGATGACACACTGTCAACTGATTTATCTGTCAGAGCAAAAATAATCAGACTAAATTTAAAGTGCACCAACACAAAAAAAGTAAATATTTTGAGACATTTAAAGAAATTGATCAATTTTCAATATATCCATGCTGGGCAAGTGCTCTACCACTGAGTTACAACCCCAACCTTATGCTGATAATTTGAAATAAAAATTTTCATATAGCTTTTGCCCAAATTTTACTATATTTTGTTTGTTATATTTTATAATAATACATGACTGTTTCGAATTAAGAATTGAAAAAGTAAGCAATCTTTTCAAGAAGGAAAATGTTATTTTATTTTTCAAGTATTACAAAATAAAATGTGATCAGTTATTACAGACATCTGAATTGGCAAAGTTAATTTTTCAGAGACATTATCACAGGAAATTTAATCTGAATTGACAGGATAAACAAACTAATTCAATATCAGACAATCTGGTACAAAATGAGAGACGATTTCCTAATTCTTCATATTTCACATTTACATACCAGGCACCTAATACAAAATCATTAGGTGAAATGAGGATTTCAGGAGTTAATTTTAAGTTACAAATTCAAAATCCATTTCCATATTTTAAAAGTAGGCATTTATTCTTTTTTTTTTTTTTTTGTACCGGGGATTAAACTCAGGGAAACTCAACCACTGAGCCCTATTTTGTATTTTATTTAGAGACAGGGTCTCACTGAATTGCTTGAATACAAGAAGTCTTGCTTTTGCTGAGGTTGGCTTTGAACTCTTGATCTTCCTGCCTCAGCCTCCTGAGATGGGAACATTATAGGAATTCACCACCACACCCAGAAAAAGTAGGCATTTATTCTTAAGTGGGATTCCTAGAGAATAAAAAATTTGCAAATAATAATATTATAATATTTAAAATGCAAGTTTAATATCTCAGTGAACATGGACATTTATATTCAAATAATATGTAAAAATCAATATTATAGTAGTTTAACATATAGTCAAAAATTTTATAGCATAATATATAAAATGGCAGAATCTATATTCATGGTATTATGGATCAAATAAGTAAAGAAACACATTATTATACCTCAGCCAAATATTCCAATCCAGGTGGACAGTCAGTGGTTGACTCTGATGTGTCTATCCAATGGGCTGTATCTGATGTCTTCATCCAATTTATCATAGATTGTAGATTATGAAAAGCCATAATCTGGATAATATAAATGCTTTGAAATGAGACAAATTGAATTGAATTAGCTCTTTAGCTTTAAAATCTACTACCACTGAAACATGTAAACTTGGTTAGAATCATGAATCAACTTCAACTCCAAGTTTGATTTTTTTTTTTATCTTTTAATGGCATAAATATCAGGCATACTTTATTTTTAAAACTGTTTTCAATTGAAATGTTCATGATTTTATAAAAGAAAATAAGAATCTTGGGAATACAAGAAGTCTCAGTTTATGCTGTCATGATAATCTAATATTAATTGCTATCTATATTCCCATGTGACCTTAATCTATTTTAATAAAATTAAATCTTTATTTTTCAGAATTATTTGAAAATGACTAGATGAGTTCCAGCCTTCAAATCCCCACTCATATTGAGGTAGATATATCATGGTAGAAATGGCAACATTTTGTTTTGGGCAAAAACCAGATAAAATTTTTAAAAATATGATTTGGGAAGGTATCTACTTCCAGTTCCACTGTTCTAACAAAATTAGAACAAAACTCTATGGAAACAGAATGTCTTTCCTGACCCTGGCTAGGTCTTACTACTTTCTGTATTTTTCTCAGGTTGAACATAATTAGACTTATGAAACAAATCTACAAATCCTGTTCTTGGTTCCAAGTTGAAGAGGATGATTCTAACAATGCCTATGAAGATTTTGGAGGTGCTGCAGAATTTATTCCCATTATTATTATTATTTTGTTTTTTTATATATTTTTGTTTTTATTTATTTACTTTTGTATGTGGTGCTGAGGATCGAACCCAGTGCCTCATGCACGTGAGGCGAGTGCTCAGCCACTGAGCTACAACCCCAGCCCTACTCCCATTATTTTAAGGCAAATATATGATCGTCTCTCATACAAATCCAAGAATTTAATCAACAAATACCTAAGAGACTACAACATGTACACAAGACATACAGAAAGCTCACTACAGAAAACAAGAGTAAAATTGAAATGGCAAGTTTCCATTCCAAAGTCAGACCATGGAATAGGAAATGGTGTAAGGAGAAGCAAAGATGGGAACTTAGAAGATCATGTAAGCTTAAAAGTTATTAGTTTAATTTAGATGGGTCAAAAGGTAGCTCTATGTTTAAATTTTTGAGGAATCAAAAACGTTTTCCAAACATTGTACACTCCCACCAATAATGAATGAGGTACCAGATTCTCCAGTCTTCCCAACATTTGCTACTTTCTATCTTTTTAAACACAAGCAGCCTCCTGGGGTGAAGTCATTTCTCACTGAGGTTTGGATGTACATCTGCTAATGACTGGCATCACTGAATGTCTTTTTATGTGTTACTGTTCATTAGTACAACTTCTCTAGAGAATCATCTATTCCAGTCCTTTCCAACATTTTTAATGTGTGTTGTCTCTCTACTGTTAAAAATTTCCTATACTAAGACTTACAAATATTTTCTGCCCTTGTGTGTGCTGTTGATGATTTTGATCAAAGCACAAAAGTTTTGAACTTTGATGTAGTTCAAATCTGCAGGTTTGGAGGACACTGTGTCTGCTGACTGCTTCTGTTGGGAGTGGGATGGGGTGCAGGGTGCAGGGCTCAGGGCTGAGGCTGACCCACTGTGGAATGTTGAGCACTGGCTCTTTCTACAGGGGCTTGTTGATAGTGACCCTGAGGTTTGGTTGTTGTCAGCAACTGTAGGGCCTGGGAGTTGTAGATGGTATGTGAGAGACACAGGAGCCTCCATCTTGGCTGCTGCAGATCACCAGATTTCACCTGTCACTGTGACTGAGGTAGAGTGTCTGATGGCTTGCTTTCAATTGACCTCTTAGGATTGGCACCTATGAATTTCTGAGTACTGTTACCTTTTGCTGGGTTTCTTTGTAGTGGCCCTGTTTAAGTGCTTGGTGGCTATCTGAAACTGTGGGGCCTGGGAGCACAGTCTCTCTGGGGTCAGTCTGTGACACAATAACCTTCTGGCTGCCTGATGCAGCTCACTAGAATTTTACCCATCCTTGTAGCGGGGAAAGGGTGTTAGTTGGCTGTATTCATCTGAGGTCCTGCTGAGGCTGTTAGGAGTACTGGGGTTGAAGGTAGCACTTCTCAAGACTGATCAGCTCTTGGGCCAGCTCCACCCCACTCCCCTTTTATAAGATATGGGGGAAAGGACTTCAGTAGCCTGCAGCCACCATGGGACTCTCCACAAGTTCCTTCTAGATGGATTAGTGAGATAATCTCTTCAGAGATGTCCCCTATGGTTTTATTTGTCACTATCTTTAGGTGGGGAGAAGCTGTATTGATTTTATTTCTTCTAGGAGGCTGACTAACTGTAGGCTCTCTACAATGGCTGCCCTGCCCTTCCAAGCTTTTAGCTGAGTTGTGTGATTTCCTGTGCTGTCTTGGCTGCTCCTGTCCTGTTTTATCTTGGTCTCCCTTTCTTTCCATCTAGTTCCAAAGAAGTAAGCTTGTGGGCTTCTCCTGGCCCTCTTTAACTGCTTGTTATCTTACCCCCTGACCCTATCTACCCTGGTCAGGGTTCAAGATCAAGGAATTCTTTCCTTATTTTCTGCTCTGATAACCAAACTCCAAGTCTCTCCAGATCTCAAGCTGTCCAATATAAGGTGTCAGAGTGTTCACTCTGTCACCCACCTCTCAGAACAGCTGTACTTTCACTGCCTTGTTTCTGAGCTCTGAAGGAGTTGAGAATTGCTGACTAGGTCTCCTGCATCATCCCGAGGATGTCCTAAACTTGGTTTTTAATTCTAATCATGTTTTAATGGAGCACTTAGGATTTTCTACTTCCATGATCATGTCATCTACACACAGAAAAAGCTTCACTTCTTTATTTCCAAATCTAAATGTTTTTATTTTATTTTCTTGCCTAACTGCTCTGGCTATAGCCTCCAGTACAGTGTCAAATAGAAGTTTCAGAAACATGCTTATAACTTACTCCTGATTTTAAAGAAAAAGCATGCTGCCTTTTACCATCAACCATGATGTTATTTGGGATGTTTGTTGTTGTTGTTTTATCATAGATGCCATTCATCAGGTTGAGGAAATTTCTTTTTATTGTTATTTAGTTTTTTTTTATCATAAAATTGACTTTTGTTAAATGCCTTGTCCTCTGATTATTGAGATAATCATGGCACCTTTGTGTTTTATTCTATTTTTATGGTATATTGTGTTAACTGACTTTCAGATTTGAAAATAAACTTTTTTTAGAGAGAGAAAGATAAAATTTTTTTATTAGTTTTCAGCAGACACAACATGTTTCTTTGTATGTGGTGCTGAGGATCGAACCCGGGCTGCACAAATGCCAGGCAAGTGCGCTACCGCTTGAGCCACATCCCCAGCCCTCAAAAGAAACTTTCAATCATAGAATAAGTTTTCTCTCATCCTGGTGTATAATTCTTTCTTAGTTTCTTGATTTGGTTAGCCAGAATTTTGTTGAGAGTTTTCTTTTTATTATCATGATTATTATTAATTATTATTTTGTTTAAATTCAAAAGAGCTCTTTGTATACTTTTCTCATTGTATCTTTTTCTGGTTTTGATATTAGGGTAAAACTGGCCTTAAGGAATTGGAAAGTGCTTTTCTACTTCAATTTTTTGGGATGCCAAGTTTTTTGAAATTTTTAAGAAGCAACTTTGGGGTTTATTGATTTTTTTTTTTACTTCTGCTTTGCCATTTCCTATTGCAGTAATTTCCTCATTCACTTTTATTATTCCTTTCCTTCTGTTTGTTTAAAGGTTTGATTTTTTCTCTTTATCCAGTATCTGGAAACAAAAGGGCAAGTAATTGATTTGAGACCTTGCTTATTTTAATAGCTACTTAGCATTACACATTTCTGTGTATGCAGTATTTTAATTCTTTAACTTACATTTTCATGTATCTAAAAGAGTTTTCTAATGTTCTTGTAATTATTTATTTGACTCATTGATTTTATTCTTAATTTGTATTTAAGAATACATTCAATGTGTGTATTTTCCAAAGTTTGTAAATTTCCCTGATTTCCTTTTTTATTGATTTCCATTCCATTGTGGTCAGAAAACCCACTCCGTGACTTTTAACTCCTTTAAATATAATGTGAATTTCTTCGTAGCCAAACATGTGGTCTGTTCTAAACCCTGATTCATGTCCATGTGAGAAGTCTGTGTATTCAGCTGTTTTGAATGGAGTGTTCTACAGATGTGTGATAAATCTAGTGGATTTATAGTGCTGTCTAACCCTTCTACTTCTGCACTGATTTCCTGCCTTGTTCTATTGAGTATTGAAAGTCAGATATTGAAGCTTTTAATTATCATTGTCAAATTGACATTTCTCTCTTCATTTCTGTCAATGTTTGTTTCATGAATTTGGGGATCTGTTATTAGGTATATATTTGTTTTTATTGCTAAACCAACTGATTGCTTAATCCTATAAAATTCCTTGACTAACTCTAAAAACATTATTCTGGTCTTAGAGTCTATTTTGTTTGATAGCATATCCACTCCAACTCTCTCTGGTAATTATTTCATGCTCTTTTTCCATTCTTAGATGCTTAATTTATTTGTGCTTTTCAATCTCTACAGTGTGTATTTTGTAAATAGCCTAGAATCATTTAGCTTACCTCTACCTCTTGAGGATTGCTTAATCAATTCATATTTAATATTATTATCAGTATAAATTGACTCATATTTGTCATCTTTCTTTGTTTTTCTGTAGATCTCATGCATAGTTTTTGTTTTCATTTCTCCTTTGATGATCTCTTCTGCATCCAGTGAATATGGCCTAACTATGCTTATTAATTCATTTAAACATTTTTGTATATCACTTTCATAGTGTATATGACATATATCTTTTCTAAATATACTTTAGAGTTATATTAACTTAATTCCAGAAAATATATAAATGTTACTTTGTATGATTCTTTTCTCCCTCTTTTGTTCTATTATTTTTATTTATTTATTTATTGTTTGTTTGTTTATTTTGGCACTGGGGATTAAACCTAGGGGCACTTAACCACTGAGCCATATCCCCAGCCCATTTTGT